TTGTAACTCAAGCGGAGCTTTGTTACTTCTCTCAAGTTGTGAGCTCCCCAAATGTGCAATTCCTTCAAGTTGGTAGCGTGGGATAGGCCTTCTGGAAGAGCTCTCAGTTTGGGACAGTCTACGAGACAACATTCCTTTAGATTGGGAAACAGCTTCAGGTGTGTTCTGTGACCACCTTCCTCCACACCGCATAGTGACCATTCTTCCCAGTTGGGCATGTCGTTGATCTCCAAATACTCAAGTTTGGGAAATGCACAAGTTCCCGGGAAACTGTGGCCGAGAAACTCAGGCCCAATGGCCATGACCGCTTTGGCTCCTATGATCTTAAGATATTTCAGCAGGGGCAGCATGCCCAGAGGAGGGAGCTCTGCGCATGATGGGAACACCGAAAGATACAAGTATTGCAGGTTAGGGAGTGATTCGCCCAGGGAGGACGACATCATCCAGTTTGGGAATTGTCGACCCGGGAATCGTACGATGATAAGAGTTCGTAAGCTTGAAGGAGGAGAGAGTTCATTACATATCTTCTCGGCTCCCATCTGGATTTGCTCCTCTTTTCTCCATGTTGTTGCTCTTCTATCCTCACCACTATCGGTGGCATCTCCATCTTCCCCATCTTCTGGTGGCATCCAACTTAAAATTAGTTCCCTAAGAGAACGTTTCTCCGCTAGTGCCGACGCTGCCGTCACTGCCCTCTCTAGCCTGTATATACTCAGATATCTTAGCTTGGAAAGAGGTTGCAGCTCCTCTAATCCACACCCGGTCTCGTCCACCTCGTTCGTCGGATTGTCATGACCGATCACAAATCCTTGGAGTATGTTAATATTTATCAATTTCCCGATTCCCTTCGGTACATGAGTCAGAGGAGTGTCTTCGACAACGAGACTCCTTAGATTATATAGTCTAGTGATGGTCATGGGAAGTTTGTACAAGTATTTACATCCTGAGATATTCAAAGTTTGAAGGTTTACAAGACACCCTATTGATTCCGGTATCTCATGAATATTTGTTATATCGAGATCTAAGTATCTTAGGTGCAATAGATCTCCGATGCAATTTGGAATTCTCTCGACTGATGTGTTACAAAGATCCAATACTCGTAAATTTGGTAACCCTTCGAGTACATTATCCTCAATTGTGATGGTTGAGTGGGAGTCTCTGATCACTAAAGTTCTCAAACATTTCTTTTCTATGATGTGATCCGACAGTACTAATTTTATTCCCATGTTAAATATCAACAACCGACGAATCTTCGCGTTGGCTTTTATATCTAATCTTTGACCAACTGTAATCGAAAATCCTTCGTCTTTCATCAAGTATGTAGCGAGCGCTCGTAAATGGTCATGCATACAAAACATGATCCTGTTTATATACGATGGATCCACTTGTAGAAGATTCCTCGAAACTAGTTCCCAATAGTACTCCTCAGCTACATCTTCCATCAACCTACCTTCTGCTTCTACGATAAGGCCTTCTGCTACCCAAAACCGAATAATATCATTGTAATGAAAAACCTTCCAGGTGAAGAATGAGCAATAAAGAAAGCATTGTTTCAGATGAGATGGTAGATCCTCATAGCTCAAGTGCAAAGCCCTTGGAACTTCTTCGTCGATCTGACGGTTCCTACTCCATGCGTCATTCTCGAGGACTTGTTCCCACTCCGCTGTGCTTCTGTCCTTGGAAATTAGAACCCCTGCAATAGCTTTGATAGCAAGAGGAAGTCCATCACATTTTCTAACAATTTTCCTACCTACTTCCTCCAACCTACGCATGTCATCCTCCTCCCCAGCTTCGAATACCGTCTTCCCAAGCAACAGCCACCCGCTGTTATCATCCATTTTCTCAGCTTGGTGCATATAGCTGGCTTTCATACCACTTAACACTGTTTCGATTCGAGTGGTAACTAAGATCGTGCTGCTACCTGCTCCCTTACTTAGTGGTTTCCTCAGGAAATCAGTCCATACATTTGGACTCCACACGTCGTCCAACACGAGAAATAAATTTTTAGTAAGGAGCGAGGCAAGTTTGGGTTCCAATTCTGCTCTGCTTTCTCCCTCAAAAGATTCTGCTTTGGTTTCATCTCCTGCACACCGAATTAACTCTCTGAGTAACTTGATCTCCGTATAATCCTTTGAGATATACAACCACATTTGGATAGGAAAGTTTGCTTTGATCCTTCCATCATTATATATTTTACTTGCCAGAGTAGTTTTCCCGATTCCACCCATTCCAACAATCCCAAAAACACGACACTTTTGTTCGGTGTTCTCCAACATGCGATTGATTAGATCGTCGGCAGCTTCTTCGATTTGTTCCCCCACAATGTCCTCCTCAACTTCCAAGGGAGACGTCTCACGTGGTGGAGGTGGTTTTTTAGGGTGGAGTTGTTGGCTTGCGGGCTGTAGATTTCCAAGGATGGAGTTATCTGCCGCTATTCGTTTCAGCCTATCATTGATTGCTTCGATTTGGCCTGCGATCTCATGGCGGTATTTGGTACACCGAAAGCAGGAAGAGACGAAGCTGAAAGGAAGGCTTACCACCCCTGAGGCTGATGCCGACGCCCGAACCTCCAAGGGCTTTCCCCCTTCCATCACGCACAGATCGATGACGTCGTCGGCGTCGTACATGACTTCCTTCAGCTTCCTCACCCAGAGCTCCATGACGGGATCCCCGCTGCGGCTCTTCTGCTCGGCATCCTGGAGGAAACATCTGATCGTCTCCAGCGTCTCCTGCAGCGCCTTGATCTCCTTCTTCACGCCCAGCACTTTGCATATCTCTCCCTCCACGAAAGCTGCCACATCGTTGACGTATCTCGAAACGAAAGTATCCAGAACCATTGCCATCTCTCGAGGACGAACAGGGAAAAGGCCTCGGCACTCTCGGGAAGAAGACTCGATGCCCCAAGTGGTGGTTCCTCGAGCACACTTACGTATGATGCTTAATGCCTACACCGATCGAATTTTCATCAAAAGAATAAATTGCATTGAGGAGCATGACCGATCGATACAACACCATTAGCATGCATCCCTTCGTTCACAATAAATAGCAACTAGCTGGCTGAGGTGTTGACTCGCCGGAGCCAATAATTCATGGCGTCATCGATGAGCATCGAGGAGGGCGCTGTGAAAGAATTTTCTTTTTTAATAAAAATAATAATAATATGACGTTGTTAAGTTACCAGCTTACGGTTGAC